TACCTGGTGCCCTTTTAAATTTTGAGACAGGGTCTTCCTAAATTGTTCACGGTGTTCTTGAATGATTCTTTTGCCCAAGCCTCCTTAGTAGCTGGACTATAGGTGTGTGCCCCCAGGCCCAGTGGGAATGTTGGATTTTACTGCTTCCTACACCATAGGATTTTCCATCCTATTTCCTAAAAACCCTGTTATGTATATGCTTTTAAAAAAATGTAAAGAGGCCTAATTTAATTGAAATGTTTTATAAAGTGACATGCAGAAATCAATCCTGTAAAAATATAGATGTATCTCTGGCATCTCAATAAAGCTGTAAGTTGAAAATACATTTAATACACCTAACTTAACAAACATAATAGCTTAGCAACACAGTACACAGTGGGGTGCTGGTTGCTAACCCTTGTGCGCCCAGCATCTCGAGTGTCATACTGAATATCCCCAGCCCAGCCTGAAAGTTTCTACTGAATGCATACAGCTTTTGCACTATCATAAAGTTGAAAAATCTTAAGTTCAGCCATCAGTGGGTCAAGGAATATCTGTATAAGATGTGTTCTTATTTATAAAAATAAGTAAAGGATATAAGCAATGTATTAAACTAAAAAAAATACAAAACTGAGGCTGATTGAATATTCATAAGAAAAATGTAAAGAAAACTAGTTTTCTTTGACACTTTACTCTAATTAACCTTTTTTTTCCTTTTTAGTTTCCCAGACCACTTTTAACCAACTATTCAGCAAAAAGAAAACTGAAGCCTCTACAAGATTCCCCTTTCTTAACATGTGCCATAACACATACATTCTACTTTTGTCAGTCCTTAACATCTACCTCTCTGAATTTTCATGAATTTCTATTTCACGAGGGTATTTTATATACAGTAGTAGCAGCATACAATAAAATACTTGGTATAAAAATGTTTTGCTTTCTTACTGGTTTGAAATAAACTGTTAATCTGTTATAGGTGTTTTAGTGCTTAAGTTTTGTTTCACCAATTCTCATATGACTTTATGCCTTTGATTTATAAGACTGTTAGAAAATTAAAGATAAGTATTGGGTATAGTGGTTTATGCCTGTAATCCCAGCACTGGGGAGGCTGAGGCAAGAGGATTGCTGCCAATTCGGCTAAGCTGGGCTACATAGTGAGTTCAAGGCCAGCCTGAGTGGAATGTATTATAATGCCATGCAATTAGGTAAATAGGAGCAAGAAAAGGCAAACTTTAGCTTCAGGAATCTGGATCTTTGCTTTAAGTCCCAATAAAACATTTTGCTTTAAACTTTGACCCTTCTGAAAAGCTTAAGGAAATCTGGCCTCAATTTTAGTTAAATTGTGTGCTAGACTCTTAGGGTGTAACATGAATTTATTAAATCAGAGGTTACATGGTATCTCATTCCTGTTATATCTCTCAGCCCATATATTCTGAAAATGCAAACAGGAAAATTAATCTGAGACTTGATTCCAAAACTACCCCCAAATAAAACAAATGGTGAAACCTAACTCAAAACTTCTAAGCTCTTAACACTTTTATTTGTATTTAATACATACAGAGTAGCAATTCATGGCACTTGGGACATCTGTTCAGATATGAAAGAAAGTTCAATAAGTCACTAAATGCCATTTTGAGAGGGGTGTTCTCTCACAAAGAATTTACCAAGTTCAAGATAGGCCTGTTCAACAAAATCCAGTACTATTGATTGCTACAGTACTTCATAAATGGAATTTTCTTCGGCTTGTATCCATTTCCCGGGGCTGAAAATTAGAAGGGCAGAAAAAAAATGCTATGAACTATTAAGATAGCAAAAATTGACTTTATTAGGTCTATGTGCTGAAAAACGCTTTGTCTCTGAGACCCAAAAAATAAAGTCTTAGGTCTAATATAGAGGTGTTAGATATTACAATTTTAAAGTTAAAATATTTTAAAAGTATATAATAATTGCTTAGTAAACAAAAGACTATAAAAATATTTTTTCATTTATGATTTAAAATGATCTCCAAACTTACATGAAAACTTTGTAGCAATAGTTTTCAAGAAATACACAATATATTGGCATTGTAATACAGGAGTGAAAACAGCATTTATGTAGCTGATCTAGTAGGTCTTGGGCTCAAGAATTTTCCTTCCTATCAAGGTCCTAGGTGATGCTGCTAGTTCTACTTTGAAAACTACTGATCATGCTATTTCACATACAAGTCAGGCTTACTTGTCAGACCCAAATAACCTATCACAGTGGTAGTGAACCAAAGGCACACATGTTATTTTTCTTTTAAGATAAAATGTTAATGTATGGGTTTTTTCTAAACAAAAACCTCAGTATTCAGGTTTAATTGCAGTATTGGTAATAAGTAAGTGTGCTACATGCGTTTGGGGTTGCAGTTGGGCACTCTTCACCATCACTGCACTATCATGCTGGTTCTAGCTCAGGGAAGAAATTTACAAGCACAGCTTAAGGTATAAATAGCCAAGGTTTAAAGCACATCGTTTACTTTTCATTACATGCTTCAAAAATAACTTAAATGAGTTTTGGAAAGGTAAATACACACCTTATGGACCCATTCATACTCGCCATATTTAGAATCAAATGTTCCTTTCTGAAGAGATCTTAATTTTAAGGTAAAACGTGGTCCAAGTTCCTGAATTCCTACTTTCTTTTCACTCTTGAATATGTATCTTCAAAGACAAAAAGGTTATTAATGTTAAGTAACAGTTGGGATCACTCAGGCCAATTTGTAAAAAGGCTTGTCATACACAATACAGTAGAAAATAATGTTGAAAACATTTCATGATTGACATAAAAAAATCCAAGGAGCTAAATATGTTCCTCACCTATGAAATCTGAAGAAAATGTAATCGCGCTGATTGTGGAATGTGGCAACCTGTCTTCCAATAAATTGAGGATTATGGGGAAAGAGAGAAGCAAACATACGTCCAATTGAATGACCCAGCCTTGTTGTAAAATTATTCAGAATTATTTCGGGTACATGTTCTGTGGGGTCCTTGCCCCTTCTCTACAAAAACAAACAAAAAATCACAACACATTAAGCTAGCTGGTAATGCATCTCTCAGTGCAATTTCATAGTTTATGACTAATTAGGAAATTAATATTTTAAATAAGATTTCCACATAGCTTATAACAATGATGTACATTTTAATATGCAGTTTCTGTACCAAAAGAAAGTCCTAGAAAATATGATTTGTAGTAATGAGGACTACTGCCTATCTGCAGTAACTTAATCACAATCTCACAAGAATATTCAGTAGATAAAACTCATAGGAATAAATGTTATTAAAATCAGTTACACCTATAAGATAAGGAATCTGTCAAGTAATCAGATCAGTACTAATTCAATACTAAAACTTTACCTTAATTTCTTTTCGAAGACGAACACTGCTCATTTTAAAATGAGCAGTTGGGCCATTTGGCAAGTGACTCAAAATAAGTCCATCTGTTCATTAAAGTTAAGACAGAGCAAACTACATATTTCCAGACCACAAACTTGTAAATGTACTTGTTGAAATCAAGGTTATTAACACTTCTTAAGCTTAGTTTTAACGTTTATTATACACCACACGTTAAAACCAACTAACAAATTAGTAACAAATAGACTATCACGAAGTCATCTTTACATCTAAAGCTTCTTAAAATCTATAGTTAGCAGGTGGATGAATGTATTAATGTAGGTTAACTAAAGTCATTCTGGTATATCAAAAATTCACTCAAGAAAATGGATTAACCTAGACTAGCCTTATTTTTTCTTTTCACAATCTGATAGTCATCCTCAGAAGGTATCTCAGGTTTTCAACTAAAGTCGGTAAACAAAAGTTACTTAATGAACACTAGGCCGAAATAAGATGACAGGATTCTAGAATATAGCAACACAATATAAATTCACTTCCATCTTCAGAAGATTATAACCCTAAAAATGCTTTTAAAAATGTTTGTATGGTTAGGATAGGCAGTGAGCTTTGAATACCAACTCACAAGCCCAGAAACTTGAAAATGCACTTGTTGAAATCAAGGTTATTCTTAAACTCTTAGTCTTAGATTTACTATACATCACAAGTTATAAAACCAACCAACCAGGACCGGGAATTTAGCTCAGCGATTCCGTGGCCTGCCTTGTAAGTGCAAGGATCCTAGTTCAATACTTGGTACCAAAAACAAAAACAAAAACAAAAACGAAAACCAACCAACCAATTAGTAGCTACTGTCTACCATGAACAGAGAAATGTGCTAGTCACTTAAACTACAAATGAATAAAAGACACCCACCTACAATTGGCAGGATCAGTAGCCTAATTAACGTCTTAAATTTCCCAGCTGCAGCAAACTAGGATTACCACCTATACAATATTCCTCAAATACTGTAGCACAACTTCAGTAACCTCTCCTTTATTTTACAGTGAATGAATACAAGCAGAACTGATGGCAATGGACTGAAATTTTCAATTAATAGCATGCTTTTTCAAACATCTCACTCTTTAACCACTTACCAGTCCAATTATTTAAATACAGGATGACCAAAAATTGCATTTTTTGGTTAATTTTTTGTTTTTGTTTTGTTTTTTGAGACAGGGTCTCGCTACGTAGTTGAGATTGACCTGGAACTCACTATGTAGCCCAGGCTGGTCCTGAACTCACAGAGATCCTCCTGTTTCAGCCTCCCAAGTGCTGGGATTACAGGCGTGCGCCACCATGCCCAGCTGGTTAATTTTTATAATATAACAAAATATAAAAACAATGATTTTATCAAATTTATTCATTAAAAGAATCGACTAGTTGAAATGACACCTTCCTGAGCAACGAAGGCTTGGGAAAGTATGCAAACAAACATGGCTCAGGGGAAACTGTTTAGTGGTTAAAAACTGAGCCTTAAAGGTAGATCAACAATTGAGACTGTTTTAAGCCTATTTATATACAATATGAAATTTACAAAATAGATGTGACCATCTTTGGTTATCTTCAACTTTTTCCTTCTCCTACCAAATCTTACAGTTTTTACCTTCTCAAGTTCTTTCCTCTATAGCAGCCTCTTTATCCTCTTAACTATCTTTAGTTGAGTGAGATCGTTGAGGTTTTCCACCTAGATTAACAGTATCGTGGTGGGTCTTCTCTATTTCAAGTACATCTAGACTAAATTAATTCTATTCTAATAATGAGGAAGAGAAGCTGACAGCTTAGTCTACAAGGCGCCAAATTAATATATAGTAGGTAAAAAGGCAATTTTATATTAAAAAAAAGACAACGGTGCTTGCTTTGGCAGCACATATACTAAAAAAGACAACATAAGCTTTCTCAAGACTATAGATTGTATAAGTGAAATGTGTGTGCCTGTATAAAACATCTCAGTAAAACAGGATAAGAATGTTAATTGAAATGAGGAATGACGGCTTCTTAATACCAATCCTTAAATGGTATTTTTTTAACCATCAAAAATAAAAAGGCAAGCAGACCACGCCACTTTATATTTTGGGGCAATTAAAAAAAAGGCAGCAAATACTTTAAAAGTAGATCTTTTCTGGAACAGTTAAGTATTCAAAAGATTTTAGTTTGGTATATTAATCTGGTTAAGCCAAATTATAGCCAAAAAGATACCACAATAAAAGCTAGTTTTTGTCTATTTTTGTTTCTAGAAAATACTACAAGTAAATATACTTGTTACACTGAAAATAATAAAAGCCATAAAAATTAGATATTTAAAATACAGCCTTTTAAAACAGTTTAATCAGTGTTCACTGAAATAACATGTCTTGGTGACAAAGAACAGTCTTGTTGCCGTTCTTTTATAAATACTTAACTTTTAATAATTTTGACTTAATCAGTTGGTCATCTCTGAGGTTACTGTATTCACAGGTGTTAGTTAATAAAACAACAGCAAGAGGGAAAATAAATCTACACTTCCCTTATCTCAATATCTTATCAGAAACACCTTGGGTTCAGGGGACACATTTATCTCATTGGTATTGGCATCTAAAACACTACCAATTACCAGTTACATAGTTTGGGCTCAGATTTCCATTTCAGACTCAATTCTGTGACACCAGCACCACAACATCTGATCTAGCCAGACCAAAGTACAGGCAGGTCCAACTGGGTCAGTTCTCTCATGCCACCCCTCTTAAATGACTGTCTTCTGCACCGAACATTCCCTCCTTGCCTTATAAACTTCATTCACCCCTTGGACCCACCTTAAGCATCTCTTTCTATGTGACACCCTTCCTGATATCCCCAGAACAATGTAGACTAGCACAAGGTTGATATTTTCTATTTCTTTAATTGTTCTATCCACACTATATTTTGTTAGCTTATATGTCTGTTTACTCTGAATTCCCTAAAGGTTGACTTTTTCATTCTGCATCCTTTGAAAGGATTAAAACAACGTCTCAGCTGTAACATGTGCCTCCTAAAAATGTATGGTGAATAAAAAGGAAAAAAAAAATCAGTTTATAGAATCTTGTATAGAAATAGTTAATTTTTTGAGGAAAATTATGTTCTGGGAGTTACAGGGAACAGCTCCTTATTCTTTCAAATATATTTTAAAAGGGATGAGAAAGGGACAGCAAAACTTCTTTCAAAGGATACTTGGTATCTTACGATCTTCATGAATCACGATTAGATCTGTGAAGTCTCTTGAGATGCACTGTGGAATAATCTTTTTCAGAGCCAGTCCTCTTCTGTAGTAAACATGGGAGTTGGGTATAACCGTTGAGAGCTGGTGACAGAGTCTTACTGTTCTCTGTAAAACAAAATAACAAAAATTCTCAGAAGTGAAAAAGAATAAAATATTACATGGCCTATATTCAGAAGGAAATAAATGATTGTAAGACTGTTGTTAATAGAAAGACCAAAGAAAAATAATGAGAATTATGTTTCATCTTTTATCAAAGGATGGTCATCCTGCTGGGTGTGGTGACACAAGCCTGTAATCCCAGCACTCGGGAGGCTGAGGCAGGCGGATCGCTGTGAGTTTGAGAACAGCCTGGGTACACAGTGAGTTCCAGGTCAGTCTCAACTACATAGTGAGACCCTGCCTCAAAAAACAAACAAACAAAAAACAAAACAAAACAAAAAAAGAATGGTCATCCTAAATCAACAAAGGGTACTTTTGCTCCACCAAGAGACATTTGGCAACATATAGGGACATTTCTCTGGTTACTAATGGAAAGAGGCTGGGGATGCTGCTAAACATCCTATAATGAACGGGATACTGATCATAACTATGAACCACCCCGCCCAAAATGTATGCTTAGTGAACCTCTACCATATCAACAGTTGATTTTTATTTTAGTCTATTCACAGGCATTATTTCAAGCAATAACTATTTAACTCTTTTGAAAAGAGTACCTTAAATGATAGAATATAAGGCAATTAAAAATTCAAGAACTATACTATATATGTGTTTACCCCATGAGGTCTATCTGATGTTGTGATGAGAATCTTGGGAGAAGTTTCTCTGTTGAAGTAAGGAGCAAATTCATCAGTAGCTTCATCATAAGCAACCTGAAAACAGAAGATATAATTTTACATCAAACAAATACTCTACTGAGTCTGACTGTTGACACTAACTACCTAGCTGACAGGATCTGAAGATATGGGAGGGACTAATGTTAGTGGCACCCTGAAGAGATTGGATGATTTCTCCTCTAGAATACAAGAATAAAACTATCAGTAGTCATTCTGGTACATAAACTGATTCATGTTTATTCTTGGAAAATGGTTATAAAAGGAGCAAAAACATCAGAAATTAGCTTCATTGGTGAGAATAATAATTTTATCAACTTCAAGGGTGATAGAAGGTAAGAAGTAGCAGTCTAGGATTTGGAGGTGGTGGACTGGATCAGGAAGGGGAAGGTTGGTCATGTGGAGGTAATAACCCACAGCTTTGCCAATGCAGAACTGCAAATGCAATTCCGGGTAAGTGTGGACCTGCCAAAAATTCAAAGGAGTGCTCTGGAAGTGAAAGATTCATAATCTCCCCACAAATCCGCGGCTAACAGCTAAGCTTACACATGTGTTGGAGGAGACCTGAAAATCCACTGAATGTAAAAGCCAAGGGAGACTTGAGAATTGGCAGTAACTAACCATAAAGCTACTCCTAAATCCGCACACAGCTCAGATGGCATGGATGTCTGAGGGGCTTGTGGTAGCTCAACAATCCACCTAATCACTGGTTGACCGTGAATCCAAATAAACATAGGAGCGATCCCTAGGGAATTTAGTTAAAAGTAATTTAAAATCAGTAGAGGCATAGTGCTATTATCAGGAGACAGGCTATATAGTTTAAGTCCACACAAACTGCTAAAACAACCCATACCCTTAAAAAATAAAGTAGCATTTAAAATATCTAATTTTCAACAGTGATTAGATTTATTAGAAACAAAAAAGCACGACACATCAGAGAAAAAGCAGTCAATAGTTGCTGAATGGGTTCAGATATTGAATTTAGCAGACTTCAAACAACACTAAGTAAAATATACAATGATTTAAAAGAAATATGGACTGAACAGCCAATCTGACATGGCAGAAAAATCAGTGAACCTGAAAACTGTCTAATATACATGACCTGGACTGAACAACAACAACAACAAAAAATCACAGAAAATATAGTGAACTGGATGAACCTGTAGGATAATATCAAACATTTCAATAGTACACAATAAGGGAGTCCTCAGAGAGAAGACAGAAAGGGGCAGAAAAACTACTTGAAGAAATAATGGCTGAAAACACTATATGTAAGAAAAACACTAATAGATCTACAAAGCTCAGGAAATCCCAAGCAGGATTTAAAAAAAACAATACTGAACATTAGTGCCAAACTGCTAAAAGCCAAAACCAAAAAATCTGAATGTAAAAGGAAACACCGATGACAAGTGGAAATGTCAAAGTTAAAATGCAGTGGAATGGTATTTAAAGAAGACCCTTATCTTTCACCATGCACTAAATTAAAATCCAAATGGATTAAAGATCTAAATATTAAAACAGAAACATTAAACTTGCTGGAAGGTAAGTTAGGCAGAACTATGAGAGACACTGGCATAGGAAAAGACTTTATGAACAAATCCTCAGTAGCACGGGAACTAGCAGATAGAATCAACAACTGGGATCTCATCTTATTAAAAAGCTTCTGTACTTCAAAAGAAACCATCAGCAGAACTAAGACAACCTACAATGTGGGGAAAAAATTTTACCAGTGTTCCTCAGACAAAGGACTATTATCAAGAATATATAAAGAACTCAAAGCAAGCAGCCCCCCCAAATATAAAGACCCGATTCAAAAATGGGCATCCGAAATGAACAGACATTTATCAAAGAAGTCAAAGCAGCAAGTAAATATATGAAATGTTCCACATCACTGATCATTCGAGAGATGCAGAGGAAAACAACACTGAGATTCCACCTCACCCCACAAAGAATGGCTGCTATCAAGAAATCACATAATAACAAATGTTGGCGGGGTTGTGGGGAGAAAGGAACCCTTCTCCATTGTTGATGGGAGTGCATACTGGTGCAACCACTATGGAGATACCTCAAAGAGCTGGGACTGGAGGTTCCATGTGACCCAGCCATCCCTCTGCTGGGTTTCTTTCCAAAAGAAATAAAAGAATCATATCACAGAGAAGTATGCACACCCATGTTTATAGCAGCACAGTTTGTAATAGCTAAAACTTGGAAACAGCCCATTTGCCCATCCGTTGGAAACTGGATAAAGAAGATGTGGTTTTTCTATAAAATGGAATATTACTCAGCCATAAAGAAGGAGAAAATAGATTCATTCATAGGAAAATGGATACATATTGAAGATATACTCCTAAGTGAAATAAATAAGGCACACATGTGTAAATACTGAATAGTTTCTCTGGTGTGAATAATCTGCAATAATACAGAAGATCCTAATAAGATTACTGACATTGAGAAATGGGAAGAAAGGAGCTAAAGGTGTAGGGAAGGTGGGATGGGTAGGGGAAGGGTAATAAGGGAAAAGAAAAAAATGTGAGATAATGAAAAGATGGAAATAAAGTGTTTGTAGATGGGGAGGGGAGGAGTGGGTGAAGGGAGGGTAGGGACAAGGGGAAAAAATGAGAACCAAGACTTGTCATGTAGAGGTACAAGATCCCAATAATGAATGTAACTGTACTGTATACCTAAAATGTACCAATAAACGCAATTAAAGCTGAAAAAAAAATTCAGCCAAATATTTTATATTCTACAAAGTTTTAAAAAATGAAGGCAAATAGGCATATTTTAGGATAAATAAGACTGAGATAATAGCAGCTACTTAATTTACTGTAAAAAAATGGCTAAAGGAAGTCCTACAAATGGGGAAAAAAAAAATAACACTAGATGGTAATAGACCAGAAAAGTGTTGTAAATGGTAAACGCAAAGGTACATAAAAGATTCTGTGTATTCACACTCAATTTCTTTGAAAAAGTTCAGATTGTTTAAAGCAGTAATTACAACATTAGGTTTATAATGCAGTACATACAACAATAGTATGAAGAGGGTGGAAAAAACAAAACTACTAGTACAAGCCTGTTATATTGTACCAGAACTGTGTCAATGTTTGTTTGAAATACATCATAACAAAGATAAATGCTGTAATTTTTTTTTTTGTCAGTGCAGGGGGTTGAACACAGGACATTGTGTACACCAGACAAGCAGCCCTATATTATATTAATTCTAAGAGTAACCACTAAAAAATAAAATTAGCTTTAAAAATGGCATACTAAAAATTGTTTAATACAAATGAAAGTCAAAGAGGAAGAAAGGAAAATTTAAAATATTTTCTGAGAAAAAAGCAAAATGGCAGATATAAATCTAACTACATCAATAACATTAAATATGTCAGACTGAATACAAAAACAAGATTCAGCTATACATCTCCACAGGTGATATATTTAAAATTTAGAGTCATAAATACACTGAAAATAAAAGCATTTAAAAAAATGTAGGGCCGGGGATTTAGCTCAGGGGTTTGGTGGCCTGCCTTGCAAGCGAAAGGACCTGAGTTCAATCCCCGGTACCAAAAATAAATAAATAAATAAAATAAAATAAAATAAAATAAAATAAAAAAATAAAAAAATGTACCAGCAAACAGGATCTACGAAGAGTTTTAAATGCCTGTATGTACAGCATCAGATAAAACAGACATTAAGAAAAACTGCTAAGGGCTGGGGATTTAGCTCAGCGGTGCCACCGCCTGCCTCGAAAGCGCAAGGACCCAAGTTCGATACCTGGTACCAGAAAAAAAAAAAAAAAAAAAAAAAAAAAAAAAAAAAAAAAAGAAAGAAAAACCGCTAGAACGGCAGGGGTCAACCCATAGTCCGTGTGTTATTATGTTTTTCTTTCAAGATAAAAGATGTTACTGTATGAGTCATTTTTTCTAAACTACAACCTCAGTATACAGGCTTAATTGCAATGTTGGCACTTTGTGATAAATAGGTGGGTTCTGGATTACAGTTTGGTACTCCATCTCTAAAAGGTTTGCCATCACTGTGCTAAGACAATGAGGGATATTTTATATTGGATTAAGGGTCAGTATATCAGAAGGATGTAGTTATATTGTTATGTAATTCATATAAGAACAAAATACAAATATAATATACACCTAAAAGTACTCCCAAAATCAAAAACTGAAAGTATAGAAGAAACAAGAGCAAATATAGGTGGAAACTTCAGTGTTCCACTCTCAGTAGCTAATACAACTAGATGTGAACCACACTATCAACCAAGCTGAATCAACCCTTATATATAATAATCCAACTCACGCCAATAAAATACATATTTTTCAAGGGATATGTAAACATTCTCCAAATCAGACCATATACTAAGAAACAAAATAGCTTCTTTAATTGAAAAAGACAGACATGAAAGTATGTTCCACAACCGCAATATTAAATTGGAAATTAGCCAGTAAGCAATCTGGAAAATCCTTGAAAATCTGGAAATTGAGCAACACACTTAATAACTGATTAGCCAAGAAAGAAGTCACAAGAGAAATTACAAGATATCTTGAACAGAATGAAAATAAAAATACAATAAACATACCAAAATGTATAGGCTACAATTAAAGCAGTGATAAGAGTAAAAATCAGAGCTTTAAAGTGTTATATTAAAGAGAAGTCCAAAAGTAATAATCCAAGCTTCTATCTTAAAAAGCTGGGGGTAGGGGAACAGAAATAAAACTTAAGGTAAGCAAAAGAAATAATGAAGACTGGGGGAAAAGCAATGAACTAAAATACACTGGTGGGACATGGAGGTTGGTTAATGAGTATCAACATACAATTACAAAGGAGGAATCAGTTCTAATGTGCCATGGCAGAGTAGAGTCAATATAGTCTAAAACCATTTATTATATATTTCAAAATAACTAGACAAGAGTTTGAAAGTTCCCATTCCACAGAAATAATATTTGAGGAGATCTTACACATTATATATGTATCAAATTATCAAACTGTATCCCATAAATGTCAATTAAACATTTTTTATCAGGTAAAAAAAGAAAATGAAATTATAAGACACGAACTCTGCCATTAGAAAAAATATTTAAATTTAAATGATAATAAAAGAAACACATTTTAAAACTTATGTAATACAGCAAAACTGGTACGTAAGAGTTCTGTGGCCTTGGATGCTCGTAACAGAAATGATGAAAAATGAGCAAGTCAATAAATGAAAGCAGAAGGAAATAAAATGGATAAATGAATTAGAAAATAAAGATTTAATAGAGAAGATTAAAGAAAAAAAGTAATACAGTACATGTATCTCTGGTGAACAGTGACTAAGAAAAAACATCCAAACAAATAAAGTTAGGAATGGAAAGGAGACATTCTTATAGATTCACTCATGAACATGGATATACATTAATTCTAACTGAAGTATTAAAAACCCAATACAATGTATAAGAAAAAGATAAAACACCATAATCAAAATGGGTTTATCTCAACAATGAAAGATATTTAACATTAGAAAATTCATATCATTTAGTATTCTGATGCAATACAGGAGAAAAACCACATCATTTTAATATGTGCAGAACAAGAATCTAAATATTCTACATTCACCGATGATAAAACGAAGCATAAGAATAAGTGGAATTTCCTTAACCCTTAAGGAGAATATACCACTAATGATATATTTTGTGAAACTACTATCTAACAAAAATGAAAATAATATTCAGACATATTATTAGAAATTAGTTTAGATCAGCTATGGCTAGAAGCCCAGAAAACTGCAGTTTTATAAATTAGCACACAGACCATTTACACAGAGATACAGTAAACTAAGAGAAAGTCTAAAATACTTGGGAATAGCTCTAACAAGATTTATTTGTAAAACTACATGTATGAAGAAAAGTATAAAATTCACTGAAGACATCTTCAGTATCTAAAAAAAGATCTAAGTAAGTAAATCAATAAATAGAGGTTCCCAAATTGATTTGATTTAGTGTCATTTACAATTTTCATGGAAAACCAAAGGCCCAGAAAGACATAGAACAATTCTGGAGGGATGTGGGGTGGGGGGTGAGAGGACATCTCATTCTTAAATATAGACTTAAGAAGTCAGATAATTAAGAAAGGAAAGAAATGATACAATGAAAAACTGATTAATCAAGTAGACCCCAAACCCAAACATTTATGGATAACTGATATGACACAATATTATAAGGTACTATGGGGGAAGGTTTCACTACTCTAAAACTGGTGCTGGGGAAAGTGATTATTTATATGCATATAAGAGTCTAGGGGTGGGAGAGAGGAAAGAGGTTTTCTTTCTCACATCGAACAGAAAATTCCTAACAATTAAGTACATGAATATGAAAGGTAACCCCTTAATTTTTTTTTTTTTGAGGTGAAAGAACCTATGGTCACAGGGTAAAGATTTCTTGAATAAGACATAAATTGCATTAAATATTAAAACATTTTAATATCTCAACTATATTAATGCATTAAATTTCCTGTCACTGAGACAAGTAGGACAGGTTTAATTAGCCTGAGAGTTTCATGGGTTTGGTCTATGGTTAGGTGGCCTGCTTAGTTCATGGTGGCCAGTGGACAGGACAGGTCAAACAGGAAGGGGCAAGGGACCAAATAAAGGCTTCAAGGTCATACCTCCCTGACTGACTTGGACAAACCCAGAAGTGTACTTTATTAATCCCTTGCATGGCTCTCAAGCCAATTAAGTCAATAAGCTAACTTACTAGTTACAACTAAGAATCTGTTCCTCCAAAGATACCAGAGAAAGTAACAGAATCCATAAATTGAAAGTTTCCCTAACACATATAAAAATTAGTATCCAAATTATATAGAAAAAAATTGATACATCCCCAGTACACACACACACACACACACACAAAAAGAAAAAGAAAAAGAAAAAGAAAAAGAAAAAGAAAAAGAAAAAAAAAGAAGCTTAAATTTAGGGTAGAGGAAAGGAAATAAGGGAAAAGAAAAATATGAAAAAATGGAAATAAAGTATTTGTATATAAGGGAGGAGGGGGTGAAGGGAAGGCAGGGGTAAGGGGAAAAAATGAGAACAAAGACCTGTCATGTAAAGGTACAAGATCCCAATGATGAATGTAACTGTACTGTATACCTAAAATGTACCAATAAACTCAATGAGAAAAAAAAAGATACAAATCAGTAAAATACACTGCATGATAGAAAAATGGACAAAAGACATGAACTAGTTTATCTCTGAAAGAAAACAGTACATATAGGAAAAGATGCTCAACCATATTAGCAAACAGGGAAATACAAATTTAAATCACAATGACACAACTCTCTATCAGTAGTGTGAATATAACAACATTTAGTCAGAATGCAGAAGAATAGAAATATTGCCCTTGTACTATGACAATATAAAATGATTCAACCACTATGGAAAAGATTTTGGAACTAACATGTTAAGTTGAATATTTGCTCATCCTCATCAAATTCTCCCATAGGTAAATACTCTAGGAAAACTTTTACATATATGTCTAAATCTCCAAATTCATCTCTTGCCATCTTTTCTAAAAATTCGTAGGGGCTGAATGGAGATTTAGCTCAGTGGTGCCGTGCCTGCCTTGCAAGCCCAAGGTCCTCAGCTTGATCCCCGGTACCGCCAAAAAACAAAAACAAAACCAAAAAACTTAGGAGTAACCTCAAACATATACAAAACTGAACTCTTGATTTCCTCCTTAAATCTGCTTCACCCCACTATTCCGTACCTTGGCGATTGACAATTGCATTCTTCTAACTGCTCAGACTAACCCTGATACCACTTTTGAATCTTCTTTTTCACATCCCGCAACCAATATATCAGGAAATCCCAGTGCCTTGAATTTCAAATACCCAGGAATAAAAATAAAATTCAATCAAACCAGTTCTCACCACTTTCATTGTAATTACTCTAGTCCAATTCCTCATTATAATCTCTGTCCTGCAAATAATAGCTTCCTAACTAGTCTGGTTACCACCCTTCTAATTATGTTCTTAGTGCAGCACTACTCACATTTAAAAATTAAGTCTGATCAAACAAATCAAGTATAAAACCAAAGATTTCACAATGGCCAATAAGATCACACTTTCTTGGAACCTTTCCTATACCCCCCACACATTTAATTTCAGTCATTCTGGCCTTATTCTTCAAAAGCATATTAGGCACAATCCTGCCTTAGAGTTTTTGCAGCAGGCATTTTCTCCTCTACAGATGGCTCACTTCCTCAATTCCTTCAAATCTTTGCCAAAAGGTCATCTTTCGAATGACACCTATCCTGATCATCTTATATAAAATTGTAATCCTAGCCAACAGAAAAATGAGCAAGAAATGAAATGATTAGGAAATAAAAACAGAAGGGGAAAAAAAGATATGCTCAACTATTTGTAACAAGAAAACTGCTGATTAAAGTGTGCACTAAGATACCTTTTCTCTACTATCAAACTGGAAAAGAATTCCTGTAACTGTAAAATCCTGACTTTGTTTGAGGAATAAACATCATCAATCTCAAAGTATCTGCCTCCAAAATATCTATTACATAAAGAAAAACTGTAACTTCATAGTGGAGAAACCTGGCAAACACAATCAAATAATCAATTTGACATAAACAGAAATGGGAACATCAATATCATGTGGCTCCTGATGAGAAGTACTGCAAAGTACATATAACATCACATCTGTAGTATTCCTCCCAATAGTAGCTAGACTGGATATAATCAGAGAAACTCACACTAAAGGACTTCTACAGAATTTGTCATCTACACTCTCAAAAAAATTATCAATGTCAGCAATGTCAAGCAATCTGGAGAGATCATAAAGGAAAACTTAAGTGTGGTACATATAATATTTTAGAAACTTAGGTCAATAGTGTACATGAATTCTTTTTTATTAAATCTAAAAATATCAAAACAAAATAAAAATGTACACACATAGATACACACACTCCTACATGCATAAAATTGCAATTCTTCTCTACTCCAAGTAGTTCTAAATTTTCTCTATTCCTTTGACCTATATCACATGCTAGCATGTCTAATTTATTTTACTATGTTTATTGTCTCTCTCCCTCCTCTGTGTGTGTATGTTTATAAGACAGAGTGTGCATGTGTTTGGTCCACTGATGAATCCCAAGTCCTTAAACAAACACCAATACACAGCACACAATTAATATAAGCAATAAACATTTGTTGGACTACGGACTGCCTGAATGAACAACTACAATGGAATATAGGTGAAAGAAAGTTGATAGCTGTTATTGTTTGAAAATAAACAAACATTACAAAACCAAGTTACCATTATGAAAAAATTTTAAATATTGCAAATATAAAGCCTTGATTTATTGCAGTGTTGCAAACTATTTAAAGAGAAAACATTCAGAGTGGAGGATTATCTTCAATCCAAGAGTTTTATGTGGATAGAAAAATACTGTCAAATGCTATCAATAGGCCTGAAAATACCTAACAAATACTACAAAAATGTACAGTACAAGGGATTCTAAAATATTAAACATACTATTCAGAGATCAAATGACAAACGTTAAGTTTACCTAATCATAGAATTCAAAGCATTTGTAGAAAGTGCTTACTGTATTCTTCTAGAGTATTACTGAGAAAATCAGTTATGAAGTAATGTAGCAAATACGGTATTATGCCAGCCAACATTATAGCTGGATCTACAGTATATCACACAACTTTGCCAGTCAGCACAGTGTTAACACATCAGCATGTAACTTATCAAGGATGATCATTCAAATTCATTTAAGACTTCTAACATTACCTCTTCATCATTAGGGTCTACTGTAGTTTCATCATAGACTCGTTGGTTGTCAATGGTCTTGGGTACAGGTTTTGGTGGAGCCTAAATAAAAGTAAAAGTAAATTTATAAGTATTTTACTTTTGCTGTTTTACATTATAATTGGGGAAAAAAGAAATCTACAATTAATCCCAAAGCACAATCTGTTCCTTATTTCAACCCACTTCTGCTACAGCTCCAACAATACTGATTGAAAAGAAAAATGAAAAGTAATACTATTTTTAACCATCTAAGCAGATATATACATATTGGAAGAATAGCTAATTTGAATTAAACAGCTTAAAACTAGCCAGAAGTAGCATGGAGAAGTAGGCATCAAAATAATTATCTATCACTGAGGAAAAGAAACGTATGAAAGTGAACAACACTTTGGAGAAAAACAAAACAAAATAAAACAAAATAAAATAAAAGTCATAAAAGTCTATATGTATTGGACTTTATTTCTATATTACCAGAAAGTTATTCAGAAATACATAATAAAAGTGTATTCATTGGTCTAACCTAGTAATTCTACTTTGGTTTGGAGAATTTATGGTAAGTAATGGAACACCATCTGTACAAAGAAACACATATAGTATCACTATTAGTAATGAAAATAAATAGCAGAAAGAGCAAATGTCCAACAATAGGATAAAGATTAAGCCCATTATAGCATCAATAAGATAGAATACTATTACAATCAGCAGTTAGGTATACTGAGCTTAGAATAAGAAACTGTAAAAATGACTACCTTTCTGCAGCCTTGCCTGACAAAAACCTCTACTTCAACCAGAAGTGCCAACATCCCTTCCCCTCAAAGTAGGAGAAAGATTCTTCTCCCTCTCAAACACATAATGTGACATAAAACTCCACTGCTGTGCTCATTTCTTAGGTATGCCAACATACACAGTAATGATATAAAGAAGTGCATGGGAAAAATAAGATAATTATACATCAGTGTGGTCTTTGTAGGCGAAAACCAGAAGAAGCAGGAGGCAAGATTTCATCATTTTATTCTAAGCAGGGTAAAAAGGATAGAAACAGATCTTTTTTTTTTTTTTTTTTGTATCTTCTCTTACATCTGAAATACTTCATAAATCTTAGAAAGTCACCACTATAACATCAGGAAACATTATTCAATATAAACAAGTTGGCTAAAATTTTTATTTACCTTATCACCAAGAGCTTCTCTCTCTTTTTTAAGTTTTTTCTTAGCAGCCAACTTTTCCTAAAGGTTAAAAACAAAAGAACAAGACAGAGAAACCATTAGTTAGGTCACAAACACATGGATACTACAAATCACTAATTCTATGAATATTCTGACTGGGAAGTAGTGTATTAAAATAAGCACCCAAACATAGCTTTTTATAATTACATTACTGTAAATCAAATGAGCTAATCAATAAGCTTACTTAGCAAAGACTTCACTTGTTCAAAGTCTAAATTGTCAAGTGTGAGGATTAAAGCTCTATTAGCTTTAACTTTTGCTATAATATTTCAAATTATAATTAAAGTGTGAAATGTATATCTAAACAAGTTAACAAGTTTTGGTTTTCTAAACAGTTACATCCTAATGATCACATTTATGACAGTTGCTTCCCTTGGAAAGCACTCAGATAAACAGAAAAGGGAATGAGTTTTTAGGTTGTTTCCAATAAAACTATCACTAATCCTCATATTTTATAATCAAAATATGCTTTTAATATGAGTGACAACTCACAAGATTAGGATTACTTATTATAAATCTCTATCTTCTGATTTCTAGACAGAATGCTTGATACACAATAGAAAATACTCTTTTTCCAACGCCTCCTGACGCTCAACCCAATAGGTCTCAGGTTCGAAACCACAGTGCTAAGAAGTATTCTAAGACAGTCCCTCCCCCATACTTCCACACCAGATGGGTTATATAGACCTTTTATATACTTCAGTAGTTGGCACTTAGGATGAATAAAGAATTAGTCCAGGGTACCAAAAATTCTAGTAAGAGGCAAATAAGAATTATATGTTATAATACTATATGTTATGTGTAATATGTTATATATAGTATGTTATATATGAAGGTCTATGATATGCAGATATAAATAAATGCTTTCTTCCATTAGTAATTCAACTGCAAATGAGCACTACGACCTTGGACAAGTGGTTTTAAACCTCTCTACATTTATGTTTGCCTCCCCTAACAGTATGAATACGATTACTAGAAACTTAACAGTACTAACTTCAGTATGAATTACTGCAGGAATAGACACTATTTTGCATTTGTTATGCATTGCCCATACCACATGTTCTCAAGGTTCACCAACGTGGGGTTGGGGTGGCAAAACAGATGGGCTGAGATTTTTGCCTTCTAGCACAGAAGGTAATTCTCACTAGGAAACCAACATTTCTGACCTTCCTTCTGAGTGGAGGACCCAACGAAGCAGCTGGAAAGGGAACCCTCCACCCTGACGCTCAGGCTCGACCCAGTCTCCAAAGCAGATCGAGAGACCAGGAGCCATGAGCCACGGGATCACTCTTCCCGAGGAACTTCGGCTCCCCGCAGAGACAACCAGCCCCTAAATTCCCTAATCCTCTTCCGCGGTCAAAACAGCGCGCATGCGCATGCGCCCGCTCAACCCACCCCTCGCACACCTTCCGCTGCTGCTGTTTCCACCGCGTGAACATTAAGTGTCGCCGCTGCTTGTTCTTAATCTCCGAAATGCTGAAGCCGGGGGGGAAGGCAGTGGCTTTCGGGGGTTGGACCCCGCCTTCTATCGCCCCGTCTCCAGGTACTGCATCCTCTTGAGGCTCTTCCATAGCGGCTTTCCTTTTCAAGCTTTTCTTCCCGCTGCCGCCACTCTTTTCCCTGGCTTTCGCCATGTTGTTTGCTCCGGTGCTTCTGTACGGAAACGGAAATGGCTTTTTTTGCTAGCCTTTCCTTAGTTTTTACTTCCGGGGTCGCGAAGGTCCTAAAGAAAACAGACAACTGAGCTACGTACAGTAGGGAGGTACCAAAATTGAGGCATGAAGAAAGCATAGGCAGCTTCACTGTATGAACGAGTTCGTGGGCTCCTTCATTAGGTATCTGATATGTGACAAACCCTAAAAATTATGAGACAAAGCAATCCTTGCCCTATTTAGTTTACTTTTTTTTTTTTTTTTTTTTTTTTTT